GCACAAATAAATGAATGTTCACCTTTTATTTGTATTTAGCCTTCAAACAAACAGAAATGTGAAATCACTGTCAAATAAACATCTCAGACTCACCTTATTAATTATTAACATCTTTAACTTCAAACTATAAGCTAACATACCAGTCAAATTTTTGAACAGTAAGATTTTTAATGTTTTTTTAAAGAATTCTCTTCTGCTCACCAAGCCTGCATTTATTATTATTATTATTATTATTATTATTGGCACCGGTATCGGAAAAACCCAAACGATACCCAACCCTACTTGGGGCCAGTTTTAGTAACCGCTTGCACCAGCGCAAACGACTTTTGACATTAAAATTGTACTGTCAGGTTTTACTAAAGACGCGCAGTGCCGAATTAGCACTGAAAAGGTGTGGCCAGAGTTATTTTTGCACCTGACCTTATTGAATATGCATTTGTAGGCGTTTCCCTTTCAGACGAAAAAGTTATGGGAGGAGAGTATTCAAATGAATCGCGCAATGCGTTTTACTAACGTTTGCGCTCGTCAAATTACTGGTATTTGCGCCATTATTTGATGCCCAAAAAAAGTATGTCTTAAACTATTTTGCGCTTGAAATGCTGCAATTATTGTTGCTAGGAGGAGGTACCGCAGAGAACAGAGAGTTTGTGGTAGAAGTGAGATGGTTTTTTCCACATGTATTAATTTATTTTGAATGCCAGAAGAACACAATATCCGAACATACCGTTTGCCAAGCCATGTTATTTTTAATTTGCTTCAGGAAATAAAANCTTGGTATATTGCGTTGGTCGATATGTAAATGAGATGTTGCGTCTTTTGTTTTTTGTTTTTTTCCTCCACGTTGTCAGTAAATCACCCACAGAAATTTCCATGCCCATCGTCGCTGTTTTGGAATTGCGTGCTTGCGCTAATTTGCCCCGTTTAGTAAAACTGGCCCTTGATTTGCATAACATTTATGAATGGTACTACATTACACAAGTAAGTGCAAAAATACAATACCATTCAGAAGTCTCTTATGCTCACCAAGGCTACATTTATTTGGTCAAAAATACAGCAGAAAACAATACAATTTAGATTTTTTTTTAATGTTATTTAAAATAACTCTTTTCTCTTTTAATATATTTAAAAAATGTAATTTATTACTCCAGACTTTAGTTTCACATGATCCTTCAAAAACCATTCTAATATGTTGATTTGGTGCTCAAGATAATTTATTATTATAATCAATGTTAAAAACAGTTGTGATGCTTGCTATTTTTGTGGAAACCATAATATATTTTTAGGATTCTTTGAGTAGAAGAACAATGAAAAACAAGAAGAAAGTAGTACGCTTTGAACACTTGTACAGATATTGTTTTAATGTTGATGTGTATAAAAGTGAATATTTTGTTTCCAGATAGAGGAGGAAATGTTAGGAGACCCTTGCCTGAAGGACTTGAAGAAAGGTGACCTCATACAGCTGCAGAGACGGGGTTTCTTTATCTGTGATCAGCCTTATGAGCCAATCAGGTTACACCTCTTATCCATTCAGCACGAAGTCTTATGAATAATAAACTGTTTTAACTGTCTGTTTACAATTTGACCTCTTTGTTCAGCCCCCACAGCTGCAAGGAGAGTCCCTGTGTCCTGCTCTACATCCCAGACGGACACACAAAAGAGATGCCCACTGCTGGATCCAAGGGCAAGAGCAAGAGCCAGACAGCTGCTAACCCTGTGAGCCTACAAATTTGGATCATCTATTCGTTCTCTTAATTACTTTGTTTTCAAATGTTGAAGAAAATGATCGCTCTATTCATATTATTCAGGTGAAGGCAGAGTCTGTTCCTCTGAGCAAAGCCAAACAGGCTCCTGTCTCCAGCCCAGCGCCGGCCGCACCAGGAGACTCTTCTGCCCTATTCTCCAGCATTGCGGCTCAGGGAGACCTGGTCAGACAGCTCAAGACAGACAAGGCCCCTAAAGAACAAGTTGACGCTGCTGTAAAGCAGCTCTTGGCTTTGAAATCTGAGTTTAAACAACTGACTGGACAGGAGTACAAACCTGGCATGGCTCCACCTCCATCTGCCCCAGCACCGAAGAGCTCCGCCCCCACCCCTGCAGCAGGAAATCCAAGCCCTGCCTCCACCGGTTGTCCATTCACTCGTGTTTCTGAGCAGGGTGAGGTGGTCAGAAAACTGAAGACTGAAAAAGCACCCAAGGTCTGTTTCCCTCACTGTTGCAAGCTGTCTACTTAGACAGCATTTTCTAGCCACACTTCTGCATTCTAAGTATTTTCAGTTGCTTTTAAAGGTCTGCTTCATTGGGATGCTGTTTTAAAGGGTGGACACATTTTAAAAATGATGCAGGCAAGAAAAAGCTATTGCTACAACTCTAAAGTTGTTCCGATTCTGCATCAGTTTCTTTCTTCTGTAGAACACAAAATATTATGAAGAATGTTGGTAACCAAATAGTTGTTGGCCCCCACTGACTTCCATAGTTTGGGGGAAAAAAGCACTATAGAAGTCAGTGGGGACCAGCAATTGTTTGGTTATCAACATTTTTCTAAATATCTTAATTTCTGTTCAGCAAAAGAAAGAAATTCATATAGGTTTGGAACAACAGAATTTTACTTTTGGGTGAGCTGTCCCTTTAATAGTCTAGCGTCGTCTTTGTAGTATCACACAGAAGTAACTTTCAAAGCAAGCTGCTTACTCTCGATCAGTAATTTTTGTGACAAATTTGAATACAAGTGAAATCTGTGTTGGGAACTTTTTCGCCATCACACAAAACTTTAGATCACAGTTTCCTGTTGAAGTGATGTATTTTGCCACACTATTTTGCAGAGCAGCGGTAAATGTGTCTGCACCTTTAAAAGGTATAAGTAGTATATACCAGGGCATCATGACATCAGATGTCATGTCTGTTAGTAGTTTAGACCGGTCTATAACTGTGGTAAATAGTGAAATTGAATGTCTTTCTCATTTTACAGGAGCAAGTAGATGCTGCAGTAAAACAGCTTTTGGCTCTCAAAGCTGAGTTTAAACAGCTCACTGGTCAAGACTACAAACCAGGCATGGCTCCTCCCACAGCATCTCCCCTAAAATCCGCCCCTTCATCTGACTCCTCCCCTACTGCCATATATGGGCGTGTGTCCGATCAAGGGGAGCTGGTCAGAAAGGTGAAAGCAGAGAAAGCACCAAAAGTGAGATCATATTTGCATTTCTTTTCTATTGACATAATAAAACAATTCTTAAAATATATCTTTAATATTCCATATGATATGACTATTGTTATTAATAACGAAAAAGTTATAAATAATAACCAAAACATTTTGCTGTGGTGATTTCAGGAAACACAGTGTGTAATTGTTTGTAAAGCAGCATGATTTCTCTTTCCTCCCCAGGACCAGATTGATGCAGCAGTAAAGCAGCTTTTGGCTCTGAAGGCAGAATATAAGCAGGTAACAGGGCAGGAATACAAACCCGGAGTTCCCCCCGCTGGTGCTTCTCCGTCAGCTCCAGCTCAGCCTGCCGCCACCACCCCTGCTGTGTCTGACTCCTCTGACAGCTCTCCTAAGGCTATTTACGATCGTGTCTCTCAACAAGGAGACCTTGTGAGAAAATTGAAAACAGAAAAGGCACCCAAGGTTTTAAACTTATTTCAGTTTTGCTTAGAATTGCTCAGATATTTAAGTATCTGATTTTCAAACAACTATAAGTAACATTTAACAATTGCTCGTATTTTTACAGGATCAGATAGATGCTGCAGTGAAGGAGTTGCTGAGTCTGAAAACCGAGTACAAGCAGCAAACTGGACAGGAATACAAACCAGACCTGCCTCCATCCTCAGGCCCCACCCCTGTACAATCTATCCCTGCCCCACCCCAGTCTAGCTCCTCCCAGCCTCAGTCCAGCTCCTCCCCTCAGGCTCAAGCTCTGTTTGCAGACATAGCGCAGCAGGGGGAGCAAGTGAGACGGCTTAAAGCAGAGAAAGCACCCAAGGTTGGTTTGCATTAGCTTGCAAAATTTAATTATTAATGTTGTTTTGTTTTTGTGCTCATGTGATTCTAATCTGTCTTTAGGAGCAAGTTGATAAAGCAGTGAAGACTCTGCTTGAACTGAAGGGTCAGTATAAAGCCCTCACTGGAGAGGAGTACAAGCCTGTGACCACTCCAGGAACTTCAGGGAACACGGGAGGAGAAGACAAGAGCCGTAAAGAGCGGGAGAACAAGTCTGAGAAGCAGGGGGGAGGAGGAGGAGCACGTAAACAGCATAAAGGAGGAGAGAAACCTCAACAAGGTCAGGACTCTGGAGCAGGTGGAGCAGGAGACGGCCAGGGGCCAAAGAAACAGACACGGTGAGAGACAAAATCACAACGCTTGGCTGTCAGATACCCTTTACGTGGTTCCACAAGGTGTTGCTAACTATTTGAGTGGAGACTTGAGAAAGTTTTGCAGTTGTTTTAGTACTGCC